TGTCCGCCGCCTGCCCAGCCTCCCCGCGCCTCGCCGGCCTCCCAAAATGGCCCCTCGTCAGGAAATGGCGCCGCCGCCTCCAGTGCTCGCTCCCCAGGAGGGTGGGCCCGCGCCCGGGGGCGCCTCCCACTCCACCGTCCCCAGGACCCCACCCCGGAGCGCCAGCGCCCTCCCGACCTCGAAGGAGACGCGGCCCAAGGGCTCGCCATCGGCCGCGATGTCGAAGAACACGGTGGGGTTGACCATGGCTGCAGGAAGCGACGAGAAAGGACAGCGGCGTCTGCAAAGCGGCACGAGCCTGGCCGCCCCGCTTCTTTTATACACGGCCTGGGCCCCGCCCACCGCCCTGTCGCGCGCCTGGACCTTGATCAATCGCAATTGCTTCCCAGACGGAGTGACGGCGCGGGCAGCCTATGGGCGCACGCGGGCTCGAGGTGGGGCGGGGAGTGAGGTGCGCGTGCGCCGTCGCGCGCGGAGGCAGGTTCCCGCCCGCGGGCTTCTACCGAGTGGCTGTGGCGCGGTCGGTGGGGGTTAGGGTCTGAGGGCAGTTGGGAGGGTGTCCACGCTTTCTGGCTGTCCTTAGGATCGCGTCGGGGCCTCTGGCCCTCCCCTGTGAAGGCGCGCATCTTCCCATTGCACAGAGAGAGTAACTGAGGTAAACACGGACCTCAAGGTCGAGCGGTTCTTCAAGGTCGGGCGGGGTCCTGCGGCGCGGCCTGCGCTGCGGAAACGCGAACCGGCATCCCTGGGCGGAGATCCAGGACCCGCATCGGCATCCTGCACTGGCAACCGCTTCCTGCTAGGTTCCTTTGAGCGCCTCCGTTTTCCTCAACTTTCGGAAGGGACACAAGCAGCCCCCTCTTTTGAAAGATTATGAAATACTTTTTAAATGTCCTACTTTCCAAAAATATCCTGCCTATTCTCCAAGAGGAAGCTATTTAAACAGGATCCTGGCCAGATCCTACCTGTAATTATTTTCTCCCCCCTCCCCCAGCAAGGTTTGGGTCTTTCTCATTTCATCATGAGGCCTAAGGTGTACACTCAATACAAGTGCTTTGAAGCAGGGTGGCACATGCCTGAAACCCCACCTCCAGGTAGAGTTCCTGACAGCCTGAGCTCTAAATGTGAGACCCCCGCCTCAAAAACAAGAAAGGAGGAACAAGAGAGGAACAAGAAAGCTTGACTGCGGGAAAGTCAGTGCTGCTCTCCCGCCGTCTGTGGGAGCTGGCTTCGAGCTGTAAGGCCTTAGATACAGCGCCTCAGGAATGTGGGTCTGGCCGTGCCTTATTTGGATGAATCAGACCAAGAGCACATTCGCTTGAACGACAGAATCTTGGTCGGCCGAGCTGGAATCTTCTGTACCAGTGTAGCTTTTATTCATATACCATCCTATAAACGTGCTTTTCTCAAAAATGTCCCTTATGCAAGCAGAAGGACCTGCGTTTGAATCCCCAGGACCCATACAAAAGCCAGGCCATAGGAAGGGGTCTCTAAGCCCCGGACCTGGAGGGAGTAGAGATGGTTGGCAAACCAGTCTAGACAAAACTGAACTCCGAGTGCAGTGAGACCCTTCCCCAAAGGGCGGGTGGAGGGGCTGGGGAGGTGGTTCAGTGGTAAGAGCACTTGCCTCCTCTCCCCCCCCCCCCCCGCCCCTGCCCCCACGCAGTTGTGTTTTAGGAGTTTTTTTCCCTAGTCTGGGTTCAATTTCTTCTTCTTCTTTTTTTTTTTTAAACTGAGGCCCTTTGCATGATATGTCTAAAGTCTTTTTTAATTTATTTATTTTTACTTTGTGCACATTGGTGTTTTGTCCCCCAGAACTGGAATTACAGACCGTTGTGAGCTGCCATGTGGGTGCTGGGAATTGAACCCCGGTCGTCTGGAAGAACAACCAGTGTTCTTAACCACTGAGCCATCTCTCCAGCCCTGAGTTCAATTTCTTAGTAGACACATCTGCTGATTGTGTGTTTCCTCTTTGAGGAAACTGTCTCAGGCTCCTGCCAGCAGCCAGCCCTGCTACAGTGGATCATATTCTCAAGCTGTGGACCAGGGTGAATCCTGCCGTTCCTTATGTTGCTCTTTAAAAATTATTTGATGGGCGTGGTGGCACACACCTTTAATCGCAGCACTAGGGAGGGAGGCAGAGGCTAGCTTGCTCTACCTAGTGAGTTCCAGGACAGCCAGGGCTGTGTAGAAAAACCCTGTCTTAATAAACCTAAATGAAAACATAAATAAACAAACAAATAAGTAAAAATTGAAGAATACACAGGTTGGAACTGGAGTGTGGCTCAGTTGGTAGAACACATTCTGTACAAAGCCCTGGGTTCTATCGCAGCTGCTCATAAAGGAAGCATATCATACACACCTGCTAGTCTGTGGAGGCAGGAGGATCAGGGGCTTAAGGTGGTCCTTGCCTATAGCAGCTTAGATATGAGACTGTCTTAAGAAAATAAAGGGGGGGGGCTAGAGAGGTGGCTCAGAGGTTAAGAGCCCTGACTGCTCTTCCAGGGGTCCTGAGTTCAATTCCCATCAACCACATGGTGTCTCTCAACCAAATGTAATGAGATTTGGTGCCCTCTACTGGCCTATAAGATTCATGTAGGCAGAATACTGTATACTTAATAAATCTTTTTTTTTTTAAAGTGCACGAGTTATTCATGGAGCCGTATCTCACATTCAACTGCATTATTACCCACTTTCAGCCCTAATGTGTGACCCGGGTCCTACCACCAAATGTAAGGCCAATATCTCCCAAGAGGCTTGGCTCTCCAGGCCCTGAGGTAATTTTGACAAAGCCCCTGCAGTACTGTCCTAATTCATACAGAAGGAACTGCAGCAGGTAGGGGCAGAAGCAGAGGGGAAACAGGCAAGGAAATTCTCTCAGCAGCAACTTTGTCCCGTGCTGGCCTGGAGCAAAATGAATGTGGAGTCTTCATTCAAAGACCGTCAAGTTTTCAAGATGGTCCCTTCTGAGCATGTCCAAGTGTGATGGTACGGGACACACTCTCATGACTCTGGCCTTGCCATTACCCTTCGGAATAGATAGTCCATGGGGGGCCAGGCATGATGGGAAAGTAGACCAAAGAGCTGAAAAGCCTCCATGTCCCATATGTTCAGGACCTGCTAGCGTTGACTGGTGGAGGAACAGTCTCAAGAGAAACCCCACATCACATCACACACATATGCACACAAACACATGTGTACATGCAATGTGTTTTCAGAGGCTAGGAGAGTGCATTCCCCTGAAGTTGGAAGTACATGCACTGAGAGCCTCTGGTGCAGGCGCTGGGAACTCAGGGTCTCTAGAAGGGCAGGAAGCATTATTTTTTGTTTCCTTTTTTTTTTTAAAGATTTTTATTTATTATGTATACAATACAGTGTTCTGCCTCCATATGTGACTGCAGGCCAGAAGAGGGCACCAGATCTCATTGTAGATGGTTGTGAGCCACCATGTGGTCACTGGGAACTGAACTCAGGACCTCTGGAAGAGCAGTCAGCATCCTTAACCTCTGAGCCATCTCTCCAGCCCTTGTTTCCTGTTTTTTGAGACAGGGTTTCTCTGTAGCTTTGGAGCCAGTCCTGGATCTCCCTCTGTAAACCAGGCTGGCCTTGAATTCAATTCAGAGATCTGCCTGCCTCTGCCTCCTGAGTGCTTGGGATTAAAGGCATTCTCACTACCAAGATATGGAGATATCTCTAAATTTTGAAAAATATTCTTCTGTCTTGGAAAAGTTTAGAAGCTGGGGTATAGCTAAATGGTTCATTACTTGCTGAGTGTTGAAAGGGAAGGGCCTGAACCACATCCAGCCAGACACATCTGTCAGGTAGAATTCTGTTGGGAACTGGCCAACAACGTCACATAAGCCTGTGAGAGGACTTTTGGGGCTTTCCAAGGGCACAGGCATTAGGGCCTGTGTGGTGTGTTATGGGAGAACTGCCTGGGGACTCCCCCAGAGGCTACACTGGCTACTCCAGATCAGTCATTACCATGGGATGGAAAACAGGACAAACCAGGAAGATGGCATCCTTAAATAACTTAATAAGGCTGGACTTCACGGCCGAGTCCAGATGTCCCTCCATATAGGACATCTGCCAGTTCAGTCTGCCAGATGAAGCAGCACACAGTCCTCAAGACAGAGCTGCTCTTTTTCCAAGACAGAGTTTCTCTGTATCTTTGGCTCCTGTCCTGGAACTAGTTCTTGTAGACCAGGCCTTGAACTCTAAGAGATCTGCCTGTCTCTGTCTCCCGAGCGCTGGGATTAAAGGTAAGGTGTGTGTCACCACCGCCTGGCGATAGTTTGTACTCTTTAGTTTGTAGTCTCTACTCTGGGGAGAGGAGAACAGGATCTTACTAAACACCTTTGGCTAGATTAGATCTTACAATGTAGCCCAGGCAGGCCTTCAAATTATAACCCCCTTTGAGCCTCCTGGGAGCTGGGAGGGTAGGTGAGTGCTGCCACCTCTTCCCAGAGGATCTCGGCCTGTTTCAAGGATCTTGGCCAGTACAGCATCCTATCTTGTTCTCGGGAGTTTATGCAGTATGTAAATTCTCGCCGGGGCCGGTATCACTCCCAACTTCAGGACTGGGTAGCTCTGGGATAGAAAACGATGGTATTTTCTTCAAGAAATATGGGCCATCCCTACGTCTTTTGCTTAAATACCGGAAAGGAGACGCTCTGTCTTCTGGGGTGACTGGGATGTGGGGGTCTCTTCCCAGTGCATTCTCTGAGCCTCCTCTCTAGCTAGGTTGGAATGACTTCTGCCCCAGGCAGCGTTGCTTCTGAAGTCTCAGCTCAAATTCCTGCCTCCAGCAGCTTTTTTTCTCAGCTTCTTTTCCTACCAGGACAAACTATAGAGGCCCCCTTGTTCAAACAGCTCGAAAATTTTCGGGACTGTGACAGCAAAGCACTGGGTGTGATTCTTCCAAGGGCTGGTAGCCTCTGGCTCTGCAATTTACCTGTGTTGCCTGCAATGCTACGTAGGCCCCAAGGGGGCAGCATCCTGGTACAGTATCTCCCTCCACTGTTGGGACCCCATCCTCCAAGAACAGCCCTGGTGTAGCTGCCCCTCTGTATGAGGTCTGCACTCTTGGTCCTGCCCATTTCTCTACACTACTCAGTTGAAATACTGGGGTAGATCTGGAACCTTACTTCTAGAGAGCTGCTGTGCTGACTATGGCTAAGAGATGCGTTGCTGTGTACAGGGTTAACAGGAAGCAAATTTCCTGCCAATTATTCTGGGATTGCCAGAACTAGAATACACATATCCTTTTTTTTCTCTTTTTTAAAAGATTTATTTATTTTTTATATGGTGTTCTGTCTGCATGTATGTCTGCACACCATAAGAGAGTACCAGATTTCATTACAGATGGTTGTGAGCCACCAAGTGGTTGCTGGGAATTGAACTCAGGACCTCTGGAAAAACAATCAATGCTCTTAACCTCTGAGCCATCTCCCCAGCCTTTTTTTTTTTTTTTCCATTTTTGAGACAGGGTTTCTCTGTAGCTTTGGAGCCTGTCCTGGAACTAGCTCTTGTAGACCAGGCTGGCCTCGAACTCACAGAGATCTGCCTGCCTCTGCCTCCTGAGTGCTGGAATTAAAGGCGTGCACCACCACCGCCCGGCTTTTACTTTTCTTTTCTTCTGAGACAGGGTTTCTCTGTTTAGCTCTGGCAGTCCTGGAACTCACCCTGTAGACCAGGCTGGTGTGCCTACCAAGTGCTGGGATTAAAGGTGTACACCGCAACAGCCGGCCACACATCCTTTTCCAAAGGGAGGTTTCTGTACTAGCCACAGTTTGGGACTGCAATTAGTAGAACCAACTCTATGGATCAATGGATTTGTCGGAAGGCTTGATCACAGTTCATGATTTGTTGGAAGAATAAGAGACTCAGGCTTAGAAAACAAACAAGGACTAGAGGCCTCACATTCAGAGCACAACCAGAATTCGCCATCATAATATACCTACTGAGGATGCAACCTTTAGCCCCAGTCCTCACTCACTGGGTTCTCCAGTTCCCTTTCTGTTGCTGTGATAGAACACTGTGACTAAAAGCAACTTAGGAAGGTTTATTTCATCTTATATTACCAAGTCCATCACTGAGGAAAGTCAGGACATGAATTTAATCAGGAAACATGCAGGGATACTGTTCACTGGTCCGTGCTCAGATAGCTTTCTCATACAGCCTAGGACTGCCTGCCCAGGGATGACAGCCCACAGTTGGCTGGGCCCTCCTACATCAGTAGTTAAGACAACAGACTGGGGCTGGAGAGATGGCTCAGTGGTTAAGAGCATTGCCTGCTCCTCCAAAGGTCCTGAGTTCAATTCCCAGCAACCACATGGTGGCTCACAACCATCTGTAATGAGGTCTGTGCCCTCTTCTGGCCTGCAGACATACATACAGACAGAATATTGTATACATAATAAATAAATTAATTAATTAAAAAAAAGACAACAGACTGGCAAACACCTCCCCTGCAAATATTCACTCCACATGTGAGCACCCTGGGCCCCCACTAGGTCACACCAAAGCAGGAGGACAGAGCAGAAAGTTGGCGGGGGCCAGGGCTGGGGCAGTCTCCAAGGGTAATTGCAGCAAGGCAGCAACCTTTCAGGGTTCATTTCTTTGACAAATGTTACCAGTGCCATGGCAATCAGCCTGATGGTAACCCCCAAAGAGTTCACAGTTCAGCTGGAAAAGTTAAGGAGCAGGATGTGGTACTGGGGATGGAACCCAGGGCTTTGCATTTGTTAAGTGGTCTGATAGTGAGCTGCACCCTGTGCCCCTGAGAGTGTTTAATCTCTCTGATAGACAGGGGGACTCTGGGGGCACACCCAGGGGACAGTCTACACAGAAACATGCCTGAACTGTGGAAAAGATGTAGTAATTTTTTTAAAAAAAATATTTATTTATTTATTATGTATTCAATATTCTGTCTGCATGTATGCCTGAAGTCCAGAAGAGGGCACCAGACCTCATTACAGATGGTTGTGAGCCACCATGTGGTTGCTAGGAATTGAACTCAGGACCTTTGGAAGAGCAGGCAGTGCTCTTAACCTCTGAGCCATCTCTCCAGCCCCAAGATGTAGTAATTTTTAAAGAGATCATTCTAGATTAAAAGAGACTAAAAGATTATATCTGACAACCAGATGCAAAGTGAGCCTTGGTGGAATTCCGGGCTGAGGCGGGACATTTCGGTGGCTCAGTCACTTATGCTGTAGAACCATGGGTAACTTTCGCAGGTACATGGGCTCGCGGGTTAGACAAGAGCAATCTCTTTTTTAAAAATATGTATTATTGTGTGTGTGACGTTTGTGTATGATGTGTGGGGGGTGTGAAGGCTCCATGTGGAGCACACGTGTAGGGGTCAGAGGTTCTGTCTTTTCGCTGTGTGCTCTGGGGGTCATGCCAGGTTTGTGCAGCAAGGCCTTTTTTTTCGCTGGGCCTTCTGGCTGGCCCATAGCAAATCATTCTTGTTTCTCTAGGATGCATTCTGAAGTA